CTGATGAGGAGGCATCTCTTGCATCTCCTGTCCAGCACCCCTGCAAATGATGACAGGTAGTGTGGGGACACAGTGTGGCATGAGGGCTGGTGTAGCCTGAACAGCATCTGTGCAGAGGTCCAGAGGTCGGGTATGTGGACCAGATGACTGTAGGCTGCAGGACCATGACCCAGATGTTCGGCCTCTGGAACGCAATGGAACACAACCTGGCCAGCTCACTTTGTTTTGGGGTGGGAGGGGGCGTGACAGTGCATTGAAGTCAATGGCACAGCAGCCACGCCCCCTGCACGCAGTGCGATCGCCAGTGCGATCTGCAAAGCAGTGCATGCAGCATTTTTTGCAGATCGCACTGGAACGGAACGCAGGCACTAATGTGACACGCGTTCAGGTGCCGGCTATCGCACTGTGGATGGGGTCGTGGCTGCAGTGCCATTGACTTCAATGCACCGCCACGCCTCCTCCCGCCCCAAAACAAAGTGAGCCAGCCTGGTTGCGTTTCAGTTTTCAGTGCATTCCAGAGGCCGAACGCACTGGAAAGCACTCTTTATGGTGTGACTGGGCCCAAAATGAGAATGGCTATTACGGGGCACCCAGGTGCAGATAAACCCCCGGCCAGCAGACCCCCACAACCACCAGGCCAAGGTTGTCTTCATCGACATGGGGACACGGTGCCTTTCCAGGGGTCCCCCCTGGAAAAGCACCCTCCCAATGTCAAGGGCATGTGGCCTGGTATGGTGAGGGGGCAGGCACTCTCACCTACCCCCCATTTCCACTGCTCAAATTAAGGGTCTGGTATCAGAATTTAGGGATACACCACATTTTAGTTTTTCCTTTTTTGGGGCATTGGTGTACACTTTAAAATTCCTACCACACCTAATGAAAACCCCATGCTGTTTTTGTGTGTATTTGTGTGTGTGTGTGGGGGGGGGGGGTTATTGTATTCTTTAACAAAATCAGGAATTTGGTCAGCTTCGCCGGACCGTTCTTCCCGCTATGGCTGTTTGTTCTGCTGTGCCAAGCTGAAGCATGTGCGTTCGGCTCGGCTGTTTACTTCGGCTGCTACAAAGATAATTGTGAATAGGGTTTCTGCAGTTGAAGAGAGACGAAGGATTAGCTGAATGTTCGGCTAAATCTTTTGGTTCTTTAGCGATTAACCACCTATGATCCTTATGGACAATGTCGGGGACATTGCAAGCTGGGATCACTCAATGTGCATGTGTAATGCATTCTTTTACCTGTATATTCATTCTTTGATATAGCAGCAGCATTACCCCATCTGATTTTTTTTAGGAAAAAGTTTTGAATGCATCACTTGATATTGTTAACCAGTGGTAACAGGCATTAATTGACCGGTAGGAATGGCAGCCAGAACAGATCTAAAAGTTATAGGGAATTGTACTCTAGAAAAAATGAAGCTTACGCCTTTAACTTTGTATAAACTGGCCAGTGCCAATGTCAAAACAGAGTGCACCAAAACATTTTAAAACCACTACCCCCCTCATTCCCCGAACCCCCTTCCTCCCGTCTCCACAATTATTCCCAAAATATTTAACAGGGTTATTCACAAAAGGGTAGAAATTGGCTAGCATCTGCACAGTACCTGAGCACTTGAATAGGCAGAAAATTGAAAGAGCTCTGCAGTCTGGTCCTCTGCTGCCAACAGCACAGTTATGATTTGCAGCCTATGCCTGCGACATTTCAGTCATGGGACAAGTACCAGCCATGAGGAAACATATCACTATTGCAGTGGTGAAGCTAGATATTCTGTCAGCAGGGGCAAAGACTCGGAGTTGCTCCCCACCCACCCGGGAGAAATTGTCCATCCAAACCATTCTGCCGCCACCCCAAACTTCTGGGCACTCTTTTCTCGTGGCAACGCCCTTCCTGATCCAACGTAAAGGTGAGGCTTCAAATTGCCTTATTCTCCAGTGCTGCTTTGTTAATTGGAGCCACTTCTGGGCTTGCTTCTATTTTCCCAGATTTCAAACCTCCGTGATGGATCAGGAGGGGCGCAAGAGAGCACAGAAGTGGGTCTAAAGACACTGATTCACCATGAAGACCCGCCACGCAGCAATGCATTATACAGCAATGCAAAATACCACCAGCTATAGCGGACTACAAATCCCAGCAATCCATTATACAGTAATGCAAAATACCACCAGCTATAGCGGACTACAAATCCCAGCAATCCATTATACAGTAATGCAAAATACCACCAGCTATAGCGGACTACAAATCCCAGCAATCCATTATACAGTAATGCAAAATACCACCAGCTATAGCGGACTACAAATCCCAGCAATACATTATACAGCAATGCTCCGAGCGGTGGCCTGATATCTCCAGGGTCTCAAGAGGGCTGTGCAGCATCTCAGGTGGGCTGTGCGGGGTCTCAGGCGGGATATTCAAGGTCTCATGAGCATGTGTGGGGTCTTACTAGGGGTGTGTATGGTCTCACCAGGGCTGCGTGGGGTCTAACCATGGCTGTACGGGATCTCAGGAGGATGTGCAGGTTCTAACCAGGGCTGCATGCATTCTCACCAGGGCTGCGTGCAGCCTCACCAGGGCTGTATGGGGTCTCAGGAGGATGTGGAAGTTCTTACCAGGGCTGTGTGCAGTCTCACCAGGGCTGTGTGGGGTCTCAGGAGGCTGTGTGCGGTCTCGCCAGGGCTATGTGCAGTCTCACCAGGGCTGCATGTGGTCTCCCCAAGCCTGTGTGTGGTTTCCCCAAGCCTGTGTGAGGTCTCAGGAGGATGTACAAGCTCTCACCAGGGTTGTGCGTTCTCACTAGGGCTGTGTGCGGTCTCTCCCCTGCCTCGTGTCCAGGTCTTCTCACTCTCCGGCTGCTCCCTGCCTGACACTGCTCCTAGGCCCCGCTCCTAACCCCTCTTCCTGGCACCCACAGGTGCAGTGCTGGCCCTGGCAGTGCCTGCTGAGCAGCGGCAGAGAAAGGGATTGGTGCTGCCTGCCTGGTAACAATATTAATAGTTTCCCCCCACTGGATCCGCCATTAGCCCTGCCAGCGTTGCCCCTCCTGATGCGGCACCCGGGGAATATGCTCCCCTGCCCCCCACTAGTTCCAGTGCTGTCACTATGCAAGATCTCGGTCACTGATGAAAACAATATTGAATATATGAGTCCTTTACATAAACAATTTCCATCTCTTGATAATAATTAACCATTTTTTGTGAAATAAACTATATTTTACAAGATTATAGCCCCCTGAGAACCATTATATCCACACAAGCCTGGGAACATCTACACATGGGAATTGCAAGTGACACTTTTTTCTTATGTCCTAAAAGCCTGCCAAACAGATTTAAATGCCATGCTACACACAAATTTTCAAGCAAGAAGGCTAAGGGATATTTACTGCTCATAACACAATATGATGGCTAGCTTATGGCTTGGCTTACCGAGAATGAAGGGTCACTCTAAAAATACATCAATAAAGGTTATCAGTGCACTGAAGGTTAATTAAAATCTCTTGCACACATAATGCATCTTTATAAAAAAAAAAAAAAAAAGGGCCTTTTATGATGATTTCAAATCTAAACAAATACATATTTTCTGAGTAAGGAAAGCAAAGGAAACAAAAAACTGAACTGTTAAGCTCTGTGCTGCTTTGCTAACAATTATTCTCCAGTTGCCCCTGCAGCCTCTGCATGGTATCCAGCTGTTCCTTCCAATACTAGTGTTAAGCCATATGTCCAGGGTTGGTTGGGAATCGCTCGACGTCTCCTCCAGGCCACCCATCATTCTCTGTAAGGTAACCTGAGGCAGAATTTGCCCACTCATCCTTAGCTTATGGACATTGCAATGACTCACCAGTATAGCGAACAATTACCAATCATGCACTTCCTGGTCAGGTGGCTTAGAGGAGCCAATAATTGGGTTTTTCTTTTGTGACAGCCCCTCCCTATAAAAGTTAGGGCTCCTAGCAGCCTTTGTTCAGTATGGGTTTGGAAGAGACATGGAGTAGTTAGGGGCAGATCACAGACTGCAAGGACAGTTAGGTGCCAATGCTGGTGCTGATTGCTGAAAAAAGTCTGTTCTTAATCTATTTTTACACATACACACACACACACACACACAATGATTGCTGAAACTGATTATATTTTCACTGAGTCACAGATACACTGGGGATGACTAAATAAAGCATTTGCAACACTTTTCTGGTGTTATGGCTACAGAAAATCCTGTGCCAAATTTGTGAAAACTGTGCAACGGTTTTCTGATGCCCAAATTAGTGCAAACAAATTTGGGTAATGCTTATATGCACTCTATATTTTGTCACTATGGGCTATGGGGGCTTTCTTTTGTGAATAAATTAAATTTCACTGTTGATTTGTAGATTTCCAACTTTATAGTAAGTTAAAAGTGAACCTGTATTTTCCATACTAAGCAAAAGGTTTACTTTACATACATCAGTATGAGAAGCTACTGTTCTTATTCCCTGTGTTCTCCTGCCGCTCTGATTTGCCACTAGTGTGCCTGAGGAATAACTGGTGCCTCAAAGTATGTGACACTTAGCTTCCCCACAATATACTGCTCTGTGTTTAAGAAGTCAGTTTGCAGACCTGAGCATTGATAGGTTTTTATCAATTGAAATGTAAACAGGAATCTAGGATAGTCTGGCAGCAGATCTGTGGTTGGAGAATGTGGATGAGGTACAGGTTTCTACAGTAAGCCGATGTACACCTCAGCTTATCTGCGAGTACATGGATAACTCTTTAGACCTGACAGACAAGGGGATTTAAAAAGATGCTAACACTATGATAGAAAATACATAGTCCATTCTCTGCTGGTCCCCAGTAGTCCTATTTAAGTTATTGTCAGGATGTCTCTTTGACTTCAATTTCCTCATTTGCTTTATATCTTATTTTCTTTGTGATTCATCTCTCTTCTACCTAGCCATTTCTACTGTTTCTTTACTTATTACTACTTAGGAATCACTGTATCTTACTGCACATTAAATATATGACTGGTTTCTTTTACAGGGCTAAGCTTACAGAAGGTGTCAGTACATTTGGTATAAGGACTAGTTCACATTTATGGGATGTTAAAGAAAACATGGATTTTCCTGGGCGATTGTCTCCTGTTATCATTGACTGCCAGAGGAAATATCCCATTTCAGAAAACAGGTAGGTGACAAATGTCTTGAATTTCAGTTTTTTTAGGGAACAGGACCTAAAATTAGGTACATGGAGCAGCATATCTTATGTATAAAATTATCAAAGTCACTTGTGTATGCAATATCATAAAGCATCTCCTTATCATAGGGTACTTTATGTTTTCTGATACCTTTCCTAAATCCAACGTCTTTATGGCATTTTTAAACTTGTTCTTGGTGATCAAACCTATTTACACACATAAGAGTAACTTTTATTGATGACAATTGACCTGTTTGGCATGCATAAAATTATATCCCCATTTTAATGATGACCAATGGCCTTGTAAATAGACACCAAACATGCCATGCTTTAAAATTGCGTGCGCCCGCGAAATCGCTAAAGACTATGTGTAAAATTGTCCATAGGCAATGCTTTCACAGATTTTACCACTCATCAATCTAGTGTTATCTGTGACTGATGGCCCTACAATAATTGCTCGCACTCCAACGTTCGCAGCGATATGTAACGTGTGGTTTTTTTATACGTAGGCGCATCCGACTCGTATTTACGTTCATAAGCGTGTGCACGCAGGGAACATAAAACTTTTTTGGTGTTTTTTATTTTTTTTATGTGGGGCTTTAATTTTTTTTCAACTTTTTTTTTTTTTTTTACACTTAACTTGATTGCTATCAATTAGGGGGCTAAAAAGCCCCCAATGTGATAGCCAAAACCAATGAGAGGTCCTCTTTATGGAGACATCAGGAGTTTCTAAGACCCCTAATGTCACCCAGGGACCACCAAAGAAGCTGATGAAGCAGAGATCTGCTTCATCAGCTTCTCTGGCTCTCAGTCAGAGAAATGACAGCTAAAGGCGGTAGTGATGTAATATACATTGCTTCCGACTTTTTAGAGAGAGAAGGAGGAGAGATCAGCGGTGGGGGAAATGCTGATCTCTCCTTTTCACTATGGGCAGTCACTATGATGGTACTCGGCTCGCAGGAGTGACAGCGGAGCCCGGGATAACCGGCAGCAATAAGGGCGGGAGAGCGTGGCACCACGGGGGGGGGGGGGGGTTCATGGCAATACAAGCAATCACTTGTATATAACAGCCGGCAACGGCTGTTTAGATTCCTTGCGGGGTCCTGTTTGCGCACAACCAGGAAGCTATGCCTGATGAAGGGACCCTGTGCGGCCCCGAAAGCGCTTGTGTTTTTGACATGAGTTTTCAATAAACCCACGACTGATTATCCTTGAAGGAACTCGTTGTGCTGGTGACATTTCTCATATTGTGTGCAATTGGCGGCGCCATCCGCAGTCATTCCAGGCACCCTTCCCTGATTACAGGACTTTCCGGTAAGGAGTGCAACAAGCCTTTTCCATCATATTCAACAACCAGGAAGTGAATCACGTACATGTACGTGCATCCGCCGGGAAGCATCCGCCGTTCACCTGTAGTTGTATAGCGGGCGGACAGCAAAGGGTTAATTTGTGACCAATGGTCTATTATACGTATTATACTGTAACACAAAATTTCTGACAGGAGGTTTAACTTGCTTGTATCTCTTCCTTGGAATATATGCTCTTTCAATAGGAGCAGAAAAAAAGTGGTCAGAAAAAAATCTGAATTGAGATTAAAGTTCAGGGTCAGTGATTATCAGAATAACACAGTACAGGATTTTCTTTGTTTTTGAAGAAGCTTTTTAGTCTGCCTTCTAGACTCTTTCAGGTAACAGTCCTAAGGGCAGATGCCCTTGCCTTCCCTTGAAAGTGTGCTCACTGTTCACTTTGCTGTATTGTTCTAAGCAAATAATGATAGGGTCTGACATGTGAATGACATGTGAATGGGATAGAATAACTGATTTGTCACTTTCTTTAAGAGATTGTTTACACATTACTTGTAAATACCTTAATTTTAGGCCCCATTTTCTCCTTTGAAATTTAGCATTTTTGGTGTGGCAACGTTCATTTTTGGCCCAATAGACACCAATGGCACAAGTAACATGCATTGTTATGCATTTAAGCACATTGTAAGAAGCCTTCCTAGAAAACTCTACTTTATTTGGCTAAACACAAAAAAGCAGAATTCATAAAGACAAATGTGGCTAAAATGTTAAGGAACATACAGAGGCAAAGGTGTGATCCTAGCCTTAGTGCTTTAATTGTGGCCATGTGATCTCAAACCCTAAGTTCTGTGTCTGTCGGTAATTACAAAGGGATATGAATTGCGATAAAACATGACCATGATTATAGTTTTTCTTACAGGTAATATACTATTTACATATGACTTTTTGCTTTTGGCAAAAAATGATTGGAATTTAGAGTTGGTTTGTGCACATTACTGTGGTATTAATGCAAAAACAAGGAGATTTTCAAAGTGTGTTATGGGGATAGCAAAAAAGTTTGTTCCAAGTGGTGTATAAAACTGATTTTTTTTTTTTATATTAATGGGTCCTAGCCTGTAAGTGTCAGCAGAATGGATTAGTTAATGTAAAAGCTGTACCACAGAGTATGGGCAAATATGTTTGTGTTATGGGTAGATGTGTGCAATGTCGTTTATGTAGATTGCCTCTGAATAAATGGACTGGGCCACTTCTGCTGATAAAAAGGAGGATTTCTATAGGTATTCTGTAGAAGCAAGAATACAATAAAGCTTTAGTTGCCATCCACTGAACTCTCACCATGGTGGCATAAGCTTCAGCTGTCCTGTTCTGTGAACAATAATCCTAGAAGTACATTAAGTATCATCTAAAAACTGTAAGACCATAAAGACAGTGCACAACATTTCCTTGATATTGGACAATGTATTCAGCAATGCTTTTTGGCATAGGTGCAAGTTTTACAAGGAAGAGTCCATTACATTTTTCCTGGACCAAAGTCAATAACACAGACTTTAAAGCTGAACTTTAAGCAGATTATAAAAGGCACTAATTAATGCAGCTTTTTAAATGCAAGCAGTGTAAGTATGTAAATTTTACTTCATATTAGTCTCTTGAAGTCAAATGTACAGGACAATCAGGAGTGCTGCAGTGCAAAGGGCCGATAGGAAAAAAAAAAGCAGTGTGATAGAGAGATGATCTCATCAGTATGCTGCTTCTCTGTTCACTGTCCAAGCCACAGGCAGTGTGGAGCTGAGAAAGACCAGCCCCCTCCCATCTCACTGTTTCCTGAGGTCAGTTGTCACTGGGACAGAAATTGAGGAGAAATCCCATTGCCAGTTGTTACTGAGACAAAAAGTGAGAGCAAATCCCATTGACAGTTGCAAGTTCTAGTTTGCAGGAGTGGCAGCCTCCAAATGCGATCTGTGGTGGATTGCTTTTCAGGGGGTGGTACATCAGCAATGGCTGCTTGGCGTTCAGGAGACAATACTGATGCCACATGCATACTGTTTTTCTACTGCAATACTGTGCCGCAACTGTGTACCCATGTGGTTGGAGCACGGAACCATTCATTGCATTGGCGCACTTTTGAGAAGTGGCACCACCTGCCAAACACAGCATGCTGTTTATGTTTTGCCACACAACGTGGCAAATCAATGTGGCCATAGAAATGTATACAGCATAGTGCTAACATTGCTGCAGGCACGGGGGAAGGGGAGTTATGATTGGTGCTAAAAATTAAGATCAACTGCCTCGTTTAACTGCCCCCTTGCCGCCCCTGTGAGCGAGGCCTCACTCACAGGCGTAATAGAAGTGAGGGCAAATGTTCCACTTCAGTTGTAACTTCACTTTAACTGCAGCCCAGAGTTTTGCACTAACCTAATTTTTTCCTCCATGTGTCTTTTTTGCAACAGACAGAATTTTTTATTACCTGCAGTAGGGAGCAGTAAGGGAGAGAGAAGAAAACAAATTGTAAAACAATTTCTATTTTTGTAGCATAGTTGTAGGTGTATTTCCCCAAATAATGAAGTCATTTAAATTCATAATAATGGTGTAGTTAGAAGCAGTGATTTTGTCTGAATTAAAGAATAATACATGTTAATGTCAGGTAAACTGTATTGCTTACCAAGATGTCTGAGTTATTCATCATTGTTTTCTTATAGGTAAAATGCTGATACTCCACTAATATATAAAGCTTTTAGAGGTTTGCCCAAAATGAAGCAGAGTTACTTCCAATCTTTAATGGAACACAAAAGTGTTTCTGAACAATTAAAGCTAAGGAAACCTATTTAAAACTAGTAAAATACAGTCAATAATGCTAATGATTTGGCTAGCACATACCAATGAATATCATAGATTAATCAGATTTGGAGCACAGTGCTCATAAGTGTAAGTCATTGCCAGTGACATTTTGCTGGTGGGCAATCCACTGAAATAACTAAATGCTTAATATCAAACAGATGGCATTGCATGAATGTGTAATAGGCATAAATTAAATGAAAAACTACCCTCCAATTTATAATTATTTATAGTGCTAACAACACATTAATACTTTTACTCAAGATGTACATATCTAATTATCGTAATTTTAATATCCTGATTTTCAAAACTTTATATGACTTTGGTAACTCAGACTCTGCACTTAAATACTGCTTCCATCACATTATCAAATTAATAAGGTCATTGAAATGGAAGATGTTGTGCAATCCGGGGCAAGCGTATACATGACAAATTCTGGCGAACTCAGTTCTACTGGATTAAGTTCTCCTTCACCTCTGAGTATAAAGCTCTCTTACACCAATACCTCTCGTGACCATTTTATTGGTCTGTAATAGATATAATCTTGGCTGGTGAAGGGGGAACTCTGGATGGAGGACAGGTCCACTTTTACCCTGCCCCTCCCCTTCCCCTTTTTTTTCTCTTGTTTTTTTCCTTTCCCCCTTATTACTTGCCTGATTACAAACTCACACACTACACCCTTACTAATTCCCATGTGTTTAGTTTCCAAATTAACTAATACACTAGGTTGCATGGAGTGGTACTATGTCCACAGGGCTACATGTTTGTTATCATGCTCCTAGTGTATGTCCCATAATTTTCCTAATTGCAATAAAGAAAGAATATATATAAAAAAAAGAACATGCACATGAGTGT